TAATAGACTCATCTAATTAATGAAATTAACACTTTAACAAAAATTCCGAAATTAACTCAAAAATTGCATGTGGGGGCCATGTCTCGGAATCGAGTAAATGTCACAAAATACGAATACCCATTCACTCACGAGTCTAACCATATAAAAATTACTCAAATCCGACCACAAATCCCCTTTCAAAACTCGAAATCTTTGTTGAAGAAGTTCTTCCAAATGTTTCCCAATTTCAACCCCAAAATCCAAAATTAAATGATGAAATCAACCATAGATTAGTGGAATATAACCATAAAGGAGTTAGGAATCATTACCCAAAAACTTCCTCCGAAAATCTCTTCAAATTTCGCCTTCTACCGAGCTCTCAATCAAATTTTTGTGTTATGAACTTAACCCTCATTTTTTAACCTTAAATTCTGCCCAGGTGTGTTCTTCTTCGCGAATGCGACATCACGATCGCGAACACGATGTACAATCTTCCACTGGCCCAAATTTCCTCCTTCGAGAACGTGAGGGGACTCTTGCGAACTCGTACCTTCCACTGACGGAGCCTTCGCGAACGCGGGAACCTCTTCGCGAACGCGTAGGCTTAATGCCCGAAGCTCCCTCTACCCTGTTCCTCTACGCGAACACGAGGACCATATCGTGAACGCGTAGGCTTAAGGTCCCACACCTTTGCGAACGCGAAGAACAACTTAGATTCCTTTCCCATATGCTCTACGCGATCGCGAGGCACCTCTCGCGAACGCGATGAAGGATTTTTCTGCAATAAAACACCATAAATCTGCCACTTCTCTAAGTCCAAAAATGACCCGTTGAGCATTTGAAACACACCCGAGGCCCCTGGGACCTCAACCAAACATACCAACAAGTCCTAAAACACCATACAAACTTAGTCGAATCCTCAAAGCACATCAAACAATGCAAAAATCACAAATCATCCTCCGATTCAAACTTAAAGTACTTGAAACTTCCAAATTCGACAATCGATGCCGAAACTAATCAAACCACGTCCGATTGACCCCAAATTTTGCACACAAGTCATATTCGATACTACGGACCTACTCCAACTTTTGGAATCGGATCCGACCCCGATATCAAAATTTCCACCACCGGTCCAAAACTCCAAAATTTTGACTTTTGCCATTTCAAGCCTAAATGAGCTACGGGCCCCCAAAACACATTTCGGACATGCCCCTAAGCCCAAAATTACCCAACGGAGCTAACGGAATCGACGAAATTCTATTTCAGAACCGTCTTCACACAGTTTCGACCACGGTCGAAATTCTAAGACTTAAGCTCTCATTTAGGGACTAAGTGTCCCAAAACACTCCGAAACTCAAAACCAATCATCCCGGCAAGTCACAATAGAAGAAATAGATATGGAAAAAGCAGTTAATAGAGGTTCGGGGCTCTAACTCTCAAAACGACCGGTCGGGTCGTTACACACTTCCCCTAGCAGGAATATTAACAGGATGCAATGAGGAAGACTTAGCAAATGAAAACATATGCTCTTTGAATACAACATCCCTGCACACAAAAAAAATGATTAGTATCAAGGTCCAAGAGTTTGTAGCCCTTTTGTGTGTCTGAATAGCCCAGGTGCACAACAGGTTTGGCTCTTGCTGAGAACTTGTTGCCATGCATCATAGCGGTGGCATAGCACAGGCATCCAAAAACTCTTAAGTGCTCAAGAGAAGGCCTTTGATGATGTAGGAGTTCATATGGTGATTTGACTTGCAAAATGATAGAATGCAGCATGTTTATAATGTAAAAAGCAGTAGTAATACATTCTCCCCAGTACTTAGTTAGTACATTTACCTGGAATTTTAGGGGCCTTGCTGTATCTAATATATGTCTATGTTTCTCAACTACCCTATTTTACTGGGGAGTGTATGCACAACTACTTTGATATATAATACCATAGAATTCAAGTAATTCAATGCACTGTTTACTAAAAAACTCTCCTCTATTATCAGTTCTAACAGTCTTAATTGCTACACTAAATTGTGTTCTTAGCATAGAGAGAAACTTTTGTAACACAACAATTTCATCACTTTTCAACTGTAGTAAATGTACCCAAGTATACCTAGAATGATCATCCACCACTGTTAGAAAGTAATATTTTCTATCATGTGTGGGAAACTTGTATGGTCCCTAAATATCCATGTGCAAAAGCATTAAAGGACTACTACTCCTTGTAACACTTCTAGGAAAAACTAGTTTGCTCTACTTAGCTAAGGGGCAGACAAAACAGTCTTTATTCACATCAAGATATTTAAGCTGTAATGATTCTATATTTTTCATTGTACTAACAGAGGTGTGACCTAATCTTTTATGCCAAAGAATGTCATTTAATTTTGGTTTCTGGACTGTTGCAACGGATGCTTTCCTCAAACCTCTAGCAATGTGCTCATCCTTCACCATATATAGGCCTCCAATTATCTTACCAATCCCCCTCACCCTGCCACTCCAAAGGTCCTGAAATACACAGAAGTCAGGATAGATGTGAACAGAGAAACTGAGTTCTTTTGTGAGCTTTGACACATACAACAAATTGAATTTGAAGTCAGGAACATATAAAACATTCTTAATCTCCATGTCCTTAAGAAATGCTGCACTACCAATGTGAGATATATTTTGTCTTCTCGCCAGTAGGTAAATGTACTTGATCTCTACCAGTTTTCAACTCAGTTTTAGAGTGTAGTATATCTAGGGAAGCAGTTATGTGATGAGTCGCACTAGAATCAACTATCCATTCTTTACTAGGATTATCAGTCATTAGTGCAGTAGCAATACCTGCCATGTTGACTTCTGGAACTATGGTATCTTTATTCAGCATATCCAGGATTTGTCTATATTGATTCTCAGTGAAGAAGTGCCCTCCTGCAGGACCATCATTATGTGCTCTTCCTCCATCCATGTGTGACTGTTCCTCATGCTCAGCATTACTAGTTGCACAATTGGCCACAACCTTCCTTTTAGCATTAAAATATGCAGGGTAGCCTATCAACTTGTAGCAATTTTCTTTCAAGTGTCCAGTCATCTTACAGTAGTCACATTTCATGAATGGCTTCTTCCCTTTGTAGCCTTATCCTCATCCAGCTTGCATAGCAATAGGATCTCTTCTAACTCCTAAGGCTGGATATGGACTTGATCTTTGGCTTTCATCCTCAATTATCAACGCATAGGCTTGGTTCAAGGTTGGTTCAAATGTTTTCATCAGAATCTGCCTCCTTTCCTGCTCATAGGTCTCATTCAGACCACTGAGAAACTGAAGCAGTCTTTGATGATGAAGGTGTTCAGTGTAATCCTTTGATTTAGCACAATCACAACCTGGCGTGGGAACTAAAGCATCATACTCCGACCACATTTCCTTCAGTCTCGTGAAATAGGAATCAACAGAATCAGCTCCTTGGGAAATCATTGCAATTTCTCTGTGCAATTGAAAAATTCAAACTCGAATGACCTTATCAAATCTCTCCTTCGGGTCCTCCCAAACTAGGTGTGCATATGATGCATAAGCTATTCCACTGACGAGGTTCGTTGATACAGTGTTCATGATCCATGAGAGCACAATCGCATTGCATGTCTCACATTCCTCATGTAATTGCTTCTTAAAGGTCTCTTTCTTACATGTACCAGTTACAAACCTTAGCTTTCGCTTAGCTTGAAGAGCAATTCGCATCATCTTATGCCATAATCCATAGTTTTCAGACCTAGTAAGTTGAATTGGGATCAAAACTGAGCTCGGTGTATTAGAAGGGTGCAGAAATAGAGGATGTGTGTGATCAATTTTCTCGTCTGCCATTACTGAATTTGAGCGAGAATTTGATCACACAAACATGAAATTACTCAGCTAAGAAGCAAACAGTATCGATTGCTCTGATACCATGTGAGTTGAGCTGATTTCAGTCACAACTCATCCTCCATTAACGGAGGTCTAAACGAGTAAGCTGAGTTTAAGGGAAGAAGGTGAATATTAGAGAGAGAATAGTTGGTGCGGAACTTTCTAGTATATTGAAAATGTAATTACAAAATCTGATATACATCACATATATATACACGATTACTAGACTCCACTAACTTAATCCCTAATTAACTAATGCCAACTACTGTAACTACTCTAACCAACTGGTGACAGCTGGCTAACTGCATTGTCGAGCTGTCATACTGCCTCATATTCTCACAACTATCAAATTTTATTCGTAAGTTATTTTGAATAAGAAAGGGTTTAACTGTTTATTTTGAATCATGGTGGTTATCTAGAGGCGGATCCAGAATTTAAATTTTATGGGTTCAACTTTTAAGATTTTTAATATTGAACCCATTATATTTTTAAAGTTATGGGTTCATATTCATTATTTTTGCAATTTTAATGAATTTTATACATAAATTTCTACTCTGCGTCGAAAGTTATGGGTTCAATTGAACTCGCATCTACCACATTGCATCTGCCCCTGTGGTTATCCTTATATTTCTTGTGTTATTAATAAGAATCTCCCCACGGATTGGCACTTATTTGTAATTTAAATCTAATAGCTAAAGATTATCAGGGACATTAAGCAATCACCACTACAAATTTCTTGTTCGTTTGATCTTTTAGACAACTTTATAGAGTGTGTTTTCCTTCAATCTCTTTTTTCCCTTTAGAGTCTTTAATTTTGGTAAGAGCAAAAATTATAGAACTCACACATAGTCAAGTGTCTCTACAAGACACGAAAACAAACATGATAAGAGAGTTGACAACTTAGTGTGAGGATATAATCCACAATGGACTCATGATGTTCTTTCTTAAAATGAAATGCTTGAAATACCATTTTCAGTCGGTTAATAAGTTGTATCAATGGAGATTAAGATTATATTTTTACAAGGCTTAAGTGTTACAATTTCATACTCAAGGGGCAAAGTAGAAATAGTTCCAAAACTTGGAATCAATACGTCCCTATAACCTTTTGCCACGTGACTTGCATTTAGTTATTGTCAACTACCATGACTCTATCCTATTTCTCCTACTAGTTCGCACTTTGTTTCCCATATGTTCTACCAAACAAACTCCTTTTTCTTCTTACTCCATCTAATCTTCTCTTCCAACGTTTTTTCTTGACACTATTTTCAGTTTAGTGTCACTTCTTGGAACAAGTAGTAAGCCAGTGAATCCAAGATTTATATATTTCCCTTTTAAAACAAGATCATATTATAAAGTTCTTGGGTCTTTTCCAATGAACTTCATGCTGATATTTATTGTCATATTGACCCTTCAGTCAATCACTACTTATTCTCTTCCTTTTGTTGTCTTTCATGGTAAAGTAAAGTTCTCTTCTTTTATATTGCCCTATGTGTAATGTTGTTTTGTGGGACTGCTCATTTTGTTGAAGAATCTTCAAAACAAGGTGTTAGAGATGATTAATTACTATATAGCTTGAGTATTGTGCTCATTTGTAGTGATTAATTGCCTCTCAGCTTCTGTTGGAAGGGGAAATTTTTCTGTTCTATACCTAAAAGAGCATGCCGGTGCACTAAGCTCCCGCTATGCGCAACGTCCCGGAAGGGCCGGACCACAAGGGTATACCTTGCATTTCTGCCTCGAACCTGTGACCTCCTGGTCACATGGCAGCAACTTTACCAGATACGCCAAGACTCCCCTTCATTCTGTTCTATACATAGTTCAATTTGAGAAAATGTTGTTTCCCTTTTTATTTAAAAGCCTGAATAAACCATCCAAACTTTTGTATAATTGAACTTAAGAGCATATAAATGTGGAAGAGTCAACAAGAGTAGAAAAGGTTTATTGGTGTTGTGTTGATATGGATTACAAATTACTTCACTGTGCTTTTGTTTCCATAGGAACATTTAGCAGTCACCTCACTTGCTTCTTAAAGCATATATAATAGGAAAAACAATTATTTATTGCCCAAATTAAAGTATATGATGTACATTGTGTAAATATCTTGAGATAAGCTATGCTTATTTGTACATGATATATATCAGGAATATCAGATAAATGCAGCAATGATGGAGTCAGCTATTTCACTGAGCTTCTAAGCAACTGGTCTGGCTCTCCAGGATATTGCATGTAAGCATTAACATTATCACTAAGTCAACATACTCTACTATCAACTTGTTATAAATGATGATTTTGCCGTTAATTTTCAACTTAACACTAAATAAACTCCAAGGGTAATCTCTGAAATTTTTTCTGTTTGCGCAGAGAAATAGGTAATGGAGCGTGGGACTCCTGGTTTATGCCTTTCACCAAGCAGGTGACTTCTGTTCATCAGCCTGACTCTGCTCTCCTCTGATTCACCATCTTGGATAATTAAAGAAATAATGATGATTAATATGCTTCTTATTTTTCCTTTGTAGGTACACATTGCCTGTGATAAGGTAGACAAGTAGTTGATAATGTGCTTCTTTAACTGATCTAACTTCAATTGTTGTTTCAGTCTCACTATTCCTTTTTCAACTTATAGGTGAAGGAAATAGATGAGCTTAGTGAGGGTTACCACATAATCGGTCTCTCCCAGGTAGAGAACTAGTGCACCCTGAAATATTGTATAATAGTCAACTGTAACGCTCACCTATTATTTCATTTTTTAGTTCTTACAATTTTTGTTGCAATCAAAACCAATTTCCATTAACTCGGGACAAGATCGTTGTTTCCTCAATCAGCTCCATGATATTTCATTTAGACATGGTCAGTGGACCACTGTTATTGCAACCAAATGTATAAAAAGTTCGGTTAGGTTCTTAGTAGCAGTTGTCGACCTTTCCTCTTTTACTTCACATAGATTTTCACTTCTTTCCCTCATAGCAGACCAAGTCACTCTTCAGCATTAAGAACTTAATTCTGAAAGTTGTCTAACTTTTATGCTGTCTATTTTCAAAATCTTGTTGCAAAGCCGGGGGGGCAACTGCTTTTTAGCTTGAACTTTGATACTAAATAATTGTAGAAGGAACTAAGCTGTTGGAGTTAGATAAGAGTAGCTATCTCAGGTTTACATGATATAAAAATATTCTTTCTATTTCTACATAAACTATCAACTTCACATTGAGAAACTCAGATGCTTAGAATCACCAAAAACTGCAGCACATTTGTCTCAATTAATAAGATTGCTGGAAATGACAGAATTATATGTATTTCAATGAAGAGTGCTTAGAATTTCCATGCATAATTTGATCTCCTTTTTTGGTATTCCTATAGACCCCTTTTCATGGTAGATTTTTTTGCGTCCATTTCTTTTGGTTTCGTGACTCCTCTCTTCATTTTATTAGGGAAACATGGTTGGCAGAGGGCTTGTTGAGTTCTGCAGTGATGGACCTCCTGTAAGAAATTAAAATCTTTGATCCAGCATTTTCTTNTCTCAAAAAACGTACTCTTTTTCTTACTGTTGCATAGGCCTTCGTCGGGCTTTCGTCGCTTCGCCTATAGACGGCGGCTTGGCTTCGCTATCGCTCATGACTTGGTATAGAGCTGTGTAGTCGTCGGTTTTACCACCAGAATGCCTATGAGATAGTGGTCAGCCACTACCTAAGCTGGCGGAAATAGCATAATGGTAGAGCATAGCCTTGCTAAGGCGGAGGTTGAGGGTTCAAGTACCTCCTTCTGCTCCTGGCTTCATCGTTTAGTGGTAACAAGTTCCGTGCATAAGCCACTTTAGAGATATGTATGTGTGTATATATACACACACACACATATGTTTATGTAATATTCAAAGAACAAAGACAATGTGGTTTATGTGTTGTTCCCTTTGCAAATATATATTTGTATATTTAATATTATGTGAATATTCATGGTCTCCTAATATATGTAACAGGTGAAAAATCTTATATCTTTGGCTGGTCCTCATGCTGGGATAGCTTCTGTTCCTTTCTGTGGTGTATGTGCTCTTTGATCCCATTAACTAACAATCTTTAACTGCTTCTTTGGTTATGTTTTGGTGGAAAGATAATAATACTAGTGTCTATTCTTCCCTCTTTTAGCAGTCAGGTTTATTGTGCATTCTAGCTGACTCTTTGCTCAAGTTAGCCATTTACAGCAATTTTGTTCAGGTCTGATTTTTTCTTTGATGTACTACTACTATGCAGTCCCTTTATCTCACCTTTTTTGTTCTATTCTTTTCCCCTTTCCTTTTTTGGAGTTGATTCTCATATCAATGCAATTGCAGGAACATCTTGCTCCTGCAGGTTACATTAAAATCCCAACTGTAAGTGATCATAAAAAAATCTTCTTCATTGTCTAAAACAACATTAGATTATCCTTTCTCAAATATATCATTCTATTCTATTTGATCATTCCAGGACATAGCTGACTACAGAAAAGGATGTAAGTTCTTACCAGTAGTTAACAATGAGGTACATGGAAATTCTACTTTCAAGAAACGGTTTGCAAGCTTGGAAAATTTAGTACTTATTATGGTGAGCAGGGAATTCTCTTCTTATTTACAACACAATAATATCGCCTTTTAACTCTTCATCTAAATCTTGTCCATGCACCAAAAAATTGTTAACCTGGAAGATCGAAGAGGCTCATAATCTTTTACTCTTTTTATCCTTGTCAGTTTGAGAAAGATGAAATTTTGGTACCAAAGCAAACCTCCTGGTTTGGGTATTATCCTGATGGTTCCTGGAGCACTGTTTTGCCTGCTAATGAGGTACTAATATGTGACTTTCTTTTAGGAATATGAGAGAGATGTTTCACTTTTTTAGACCTGATGTAAAATCAATCAAAGTTTCATCTTTTTAGGAGTTTCTTATCTTGATTGTAAAATCAATCAAAGTTTCATTTTTTTTTAGAAGGGGAGCCTTAGCGTAACTGGTAAAGTTGTTGTCATGTGACCAGGAGGTCACGGGTTAGAGCCGTGGAAATATCCTCTTACAAGGTAAGGTTGCGTACAATAGACCCTTGTGGCCCGGCCCTTCCCCGGACCCCGTGCATAGCGGGAGCTAAGTGCACCGGGCTGCCCTTTCTTTATCTTGAATAAGTTGGAAGTTATCGATTGTATTTTCTTATTTCTTGTTCAATTAGTAGTGTTTGTTTAAAAAACCAGTAGAGCCTTTTATGTCCTTGATTTTCTGCAAGATATTTCCTGATATTATTTTGTATGATTATGTATGTAGACAAAGCTCTATATAGAAGATTGGATTGGTCTGAAAATCTTGGATGAAGCTGGAAAAGTGAAGTTCTTGAATGTATCTGGAAGTCATCTTGAAATATCTACTAGTGAAATGAAGAAGAACATACTACCATATTTGGTAGATAATGCATCCACTACAGTAACTACATCAAGATCATCTGATATATGGCATTTCAACGATGAATTGAATGGTGTTGTAGAAGAAATTCTCCAGCTGAACACTCATGTTGAAACAGTTAGGTTAAGATCATGGCCATTTTGGTATGGGAAAAGGTAAACAATGAAGAAAATCCAAGATCAGGCTTTTGCCTTCAGCTCATTCCACGACCTGATTTTTTCCCTTTGTGTATGTCATTTTTATCTCTACTATTCATTGTATAACAACATGAAATGTGTTTGCTAGCTCCAAATTGTGGTATGAGAAGAGGCAAGGCTAGCTACTACATATAAGTTTTCTACAAAAATTCTAATCTTAACTGATGTAACTTTCTTGCTGTTTTAACCTTGCATTTCTCTTCCTCTTTTTAACACCGTTAAGATACTAAGCGTTCTTGAATAGAAGTCCTAATAAATGGACGTGGTGGTAGGCGATCAATTAAAATGGTGACACCTTGCAATATGGGCAAGTGCAACCATGACTAGCATAACTCTGGGACATGTTTACTTTCTTTTTTACTTTTAAGTTTACTTTCTTTTCTACTTTTAACTTATGCGGGTAGATTTGTCAATATGGGCTTGGCATGTTGGGTCGGTCCAACTTAGCATAGGGTTGGGCTAAGATTTTATTTCAAAAAATCAAAGGAGTCGGGAAAGGGTTGTACAATTTATATACAATAAACTGTCACTATACAAAATATATACAAAATAGACTGTCACTATACAAAATATATACTAAATAGACTGTCACTATACAAAAAATATACAAAATAGACTGTCACTATACAAAAAATATACAAAATAGATAATTCTGGCTATTAGATGTAATATGTTTGGACCGGATGGCCATTTCGTGTCAATGGAGAAAAACATGGGCTACTAAAATTTTGAGGGGCTATAGAGGGTAGTTTTCTCAAAAAATAATTGTCGTATGGTAAAATTACATATGGTCCTCAACACTTTTTTCCACTTATTTTTGTCTCGGGAGTAAAAATATACAATATTTTGGTTCTGGACTCCTTACATCTCCAGTATATCCCAGATTTCGAGATTTTACATTGGTCTTGTCACTGCTAAATGCTAATCCTAGAATTGTCAGGTCATCGGAATTCAAAAGGTTATATTTTTTTGTTGTTGAGTAAGTAGTGGTTTGGATCAACTATAAACATTAAGCAACTTAATGGAAGATGAATCCTTTAAGTTTTTTTTTTTTAATGGATGATGCTAAAATACATGAATATAACTCTATTTCACAAAACTAACTGGAATTTTTCTGAAAATGTACAAGAACAATGAATAGCTCACCTCAATTAAATAGGTAATCAATGCTGAAGGATCATAGGTAGAGTACTTTTTAAGCATCATTTTCCTTCTTTATTCTCCAGACATTATTACATAACTAAATTTAAAAAGTACCTTCGAAAGTCCTTGTGTTTTGGGTTGAGAAGTGCAGAAATTACTAGGTTGGAGTTGCAGTAAGACTTTGAGAAGCACCAATGAATAATTAATTAATTGAAAAAAAATGACATTGTATAGCCGCTCTCAAAATAATAGCCAAAAAAATATACTCCTATATTTTTTGTATATATACACATTTTGTATGTTATATACAAAAATTATACAAATTTATACACTTTCAGCTACCAAATGTAAATAGTTTCTTGCGCGGGGTAATAGTGAAAAAAACTTTGATTATGGGAAAGACTATACCGTTAGTATTGTACGGCCATTTTACCAACGCTAGCCATTTAGAATTAGACCACTTGTCTTGGCCTCTAAAAGCTCGTGGCCCTTGGATATTCACTTTCATAAGTTGAAGCTACCATTGCAAAACTTTGTTTAGCAGTAATATATTTTTGAGAAACGTATTCGGGTAACAACAACAATCCAGTATATTTCCACAGGTGGGAACTGCAGAGGGTAATGTGTATGCAAACCTTATCCCTACCTAGTGGAGATAGAAAGGATGTTTAAGAAACGTATTCGGGCAAAAAGGATGAAACTTCAGATGCTTGAAAGACACCATCAACTTCATCATCCAAACCACCTTAAAACACAGCTACTATATCATAGAAATTCTTTGAAGTGTTTGTACAGAAATTGTCAGCATGCTAATGTCTCTGCAAATCTATAATGTACAGGTATTGAACAAACTGCCAGGGTAAATTAAAATATAAAAACTGAAAAATCAACTGGACTTCGAAACTAACGCCTGCCAATAGATCTATCAAGCCTAAGCTCAAACAGACACAAATAATGACGAAAATAACTAATAAAAAGGGGAAAAAATCACACACCCTATGTACCCAAGAAATAAAACTAGAAGAAACTCACAAGAAGGCAGACATTTGGGTAGAAAAATAAGAAGCCTTTGCCTCTTCCCAAAAGCCAGCACCATTAGTTTCAGAACGCTAACACAAACTGGAAGCTTAGTGTCAATGGCACCGAGAGGAGTATACCTACCACTACTGCTGAGTAAGGTGCCAATGGCAATGGCCGCAATGCACAAGCCTAGGATCATAGTAGTCTTTGCCAGGCATTAGTTTGAGGATTCTATATGATGGTGCTCCAAGTTCCGAAGTACAATCCGTGCAAAGATTTTGGCTTCGATAGGGGCACTGGCTGCTGCTGCGGCAGCACGCAAAATCCTTGATGCTCCGGTATTCTGCAATAAGCGGACGTGATGTTGTGCATGACGACCACCTGGGATTGTGAACTAGAAAAATGTAAACACAAGATCAGTTAAGTTACCAGCTCAAAAAATAAAAGCTGATATCAGAAAAATGTCAGTGTCACTCTCAAAGAGAATCATTTACCTGAAGAAGGGCAAATGCAGCACATGCTTTGAGAATAGAAGAAGAATTTCGTAACATCGTGACAAATCTTCCAATCTCAGCTCCACTGAAGAGGTAGTTTAACAAAATTGTTAATGAAAAAGGAAAAAGGATACCTAAGAAAATTAACGAGGGAAAAGAAGATGAAGATTCAACAAGGCAAGAGAGAATATTTGGGATCCAGGAGAGTTGCTAAACAGTTAAGCACCACATATTTCAATCTTGCCATGTCACAACTTGGTGAAGATGAAGCAATGTGTTGAATTTCATAAAATAGACTCAATAGAGTTTTCTATGTTGCTTCCCCAGGAAATGTACAGGCATTAAGCCCTAGAATTCTCGATGAGCGAGAGACGGCCACCTTTTTTCAGAGAGTGAATGATGCACACAGCTGACGCAGTAAATTAAACACACGATGAAATTTTTCTGATGAAAAGTGAGCTTATGTGTACAAGACATCTTATCAGTAAGCATAAGATAAAAAGATTCAGAAAAGGATAAAGAGAAGGAGAAAGAGAGAGTTGGGGGTTGGGGGAAGACAACATGCATACCTGCACCTTAGATGACCTGCTTCATGAATACGAGCTGATTCTGTAACTTGAGTTAATGGTGCAGGGGCGGATGATGCAGCAGCAGCAGAAAATGCTTGTGGATCAGAAAATGCAAGGATGAAAGCTTCAATGTTCTTTAAAGCCATTCTTCGAGCTCCATCTAAGTTTACACTCTTAGAGGTGCTATCTGAAGAAGTTCCCACAAGTGCAACTTCATCCATTCTGTCCGAGAGAGGAAATGGCATTTTAACTTTTACTCACAAGGAAAGAATGCAAAAACGCTCCAGAATGCCTCAAAATCATTTCTTTTTCCCTTTGACAAGTGAGAACATTTCAAATCACTTTTCAACTTTGTTTTCCTATTGCAAGCACCCTTAGTGAGGCAGTTGTATTTTAAAGATTTCAGCTGAATACTCTTGTCAGTATGTCCTCTCCCCCTTTGAAATCCAATTACAAGAGTTTCTATTTTGTTTAGCCTCTCCCATGGAGTAGGTCCATTGTCTAGTCACAAAGTTTTATAGAACATGAAAATGAAAATTTCTGAAAGCTTGAACAAATACACTGATCAACAGAGATTACACAAAATTTATTTTGATTCTGACAATTGGATGCACATGCGGAACAATGACACATTTTGAGAAACCTACCTTAAATTTTACTGAAGGATGCAATATTTAATCAGATTTTATGTTCCAAGAAGAAAATGGAAGAGCAAAAGCATGAAGAGAAGGATGATTTCACATCACCCAGCAGAGTAAGCAGATGAACCATGATTCTGTTAACCGGTAAAAATATACAACAGATGAACATGTCTATCTCACTTTTCAATATACCCATCTATTACCTCTATCCACAATTTTTCAATTTGCTTTGTGGGAATGTCCCATTATTTGGTCACATTTCTACAAAATAGATCTTTTCAATCATAATCATCCATAAAGTATAAGTGGACGAGCATGATTATTGGAGATCAAAACTTCTACTTTCCTCTAAACTGTGTGAAAAAGCTACCGCAAAAGTATTCTGGGGGAAGCGAGACATATACATCATAACCAATCCATATGAGAGTATTCTTAGATGGGCATAAACAGCATCAGAAGTTAACTGTCGACAAGAAAAGTCATATGAGCTTGTCCTGTGAGATTTATCACAAGAAAAGCAAGTTTCTCTATCTCCCACATGTCGTCAAACTCACTTGGGTGACAACCGTCAAAGTTAACTAAGCCCTTGAACTCCTCTACAGGCTATTATATCCCCATTCAAGCAACACAATTACATCCAAATGAATCTCAATAACTGGTTCTCTTCAACTGAGATCTACAGAGAAGTTTTCGTGAGATAAAGATGTGCTGCTGACGGAGTTCTTTTCTCTACTACGTCTACAAGTAGCCATTCAAAGGCACATACCCTCCCCACCCCCCACCCAAAAAAAAAAAAAAACCAAAACCTAGCTTCCCAGGTAAAAATGTTCAAATGACAATGCCCTATTCCTCAATCTTAAACAGCTCAGACATGAGACACCTAAGGAAGAATGGGAACTACATACTTGTTGAGCATAATAAAAGACGAAGAGACCTTGCTCCAGTTAGTTGTCTCCTGATCTCCTCTGAAACAGCTATAGCTAGATTGGATTGCTAAATATGATGTGAAAAGAATGCCAGAAATAAATGGCTTCTGGAAAATAAATATCGTCCTAAGACGGCTCTCGTGGAAAATAAAACAGAATCATTCAAAAAAAATCTATACTAAATAGCATACCGTATTTAGCATAGGATGCTGTTTAGTATATAGTTTCACGGATGAAGACATTGTCAAGTACCTTCCATCAAACATATAAGACAACGCCAATGCAGCCATAAAGCGTGCCATTTTTGAGACAGATGACGAACAGAGATGAACGAGGGCAGGAACCCCTCCTTCCTCCACTATACGGAAAGCATTACCAGGGTTGAAAGCAAGATTCCAGAG